CTTATTAATTGAACAATCCCTCTTCATCCATATGCATGCACACACCCAAATTTGTATACGGACACCAATAGTATGAAGAATAAAGCTGTTATATATTAAAAGTCAAATGACTAATATCATTTATACGGAAAGACTTTTTCCTTAAATATTTTGTTTTTGATATTGTTACCATTGTACATATGATGAAGATAGTGGATGAAATATTTTGTTTTTTTGATATTGTTAGCTTTGTACATAAGATCAAGAGAGTGGATGTTAATCTACAATTTAAGAATAACATTTTGGCATACATAGATCGCTTTTTATTGGTAACTGATTGGATCATTAAACTAGATAATGTTATGCGTGTGCTTTAAAGTCCGTTGCTTAAATTACTATTGTTCATATATATGTAAAAGGGAAGCCTTATTTTATTCCAATGAGGACAATATAGTCTGATTTTACAGGAGAACATAGACCCATTAATGGACTTAGAATAGAAAAAAGTAAATATTGCTTAATGGGAAAGCTGTGAACACAAATTTAGGGAAGTAAATGCATGATTTCATTCCCTTTTATATGAATTTAAATAATTGGTACAATCTAAGAATTGTGGATCTTCTCTTCATTTTTTTATTATCATTTATGAATGAAATAATATATGTAAGAAATGGTAATTGTCACATTAGTTTAAAGCTCCATAAGATTGGCTCATCAAGGCTCAATTGAACGAAACATGGATGTGACGAAAAGTCTGGAACATGACATGAAAGATAAGAACATGCAAGATAAACTAAGTTTTACAGAAGGAACGAACGCCTGTTTATTAATATGTATGTTTGTAGATGTGACGTAGCAAATCTATTGCATATCCAAAAGATGATTATATACATAAATAGGTTTTGGGTCCACAGAATTGCATCAAGGGCTCTATATGAATTATTGGATTTTAAAATTGGATGATTTTGAATCAAGGTTTAAAAAAAAACTTTGGATTCAGTCGCATTATAAAATTTTTTGTTTCAATAGATTCAATCATTGTTTGTTTCAAAATTTGATATTCGTTGTGGTTATAGTTAATCTTTTATTCTATAATATTAAAAACATTTTTAATATATGAAGAAAAAATAATTATCTAATTAAGGCGTAAGATATAATACACATGAAATTTAATGTGAACTTTGTTATAAAATTTTAATAGAACTTAAGCTACTACTTGCAAATTTTAGTAAAGTTATACTTTGCTAAGGCTCAACCAAAACAATTTAAATTCTGGCTAATATGATCAAAAGAAGATTAACGCGGACAAAATCATATACCAAACCTACTTGAACCTAAAACCACTTTCCAAATTTGTCAGTTGGTCAGTATTTTAGTTTTTATGTAGCTGGTACTCAAATTAATAAATGATCGACAGTCTCTTTAGGCGTGTTCATTTCCATCCTAGACTTTTTTTGGCTGTTTTAGTTTCTTACCAAATTTGATCTGTTTTGGCCCTACCACCAACCTTTTTTTTAAGATGACAATTAGCCAGGTGAATTTTAGGGGCAATTCTATTAGTTTGGATTAATACTAAGAAGTGAGATTAAATCCTAAAACTGCCCTTCGCCAAACTGTTTTTAAAAAAGGGCTAAATTGACGTTGTTCTAAGTTGACACATCTAAAAAGTTGAAGGATCATTTTGATTATTTACTTATCATTCTCAATCCTGTGCCAGTGTTGAATTTTTCCTATACTGTTACTTTCCTAATCATCTCTCAAAAACCTGCATGCAATTCATGAATCTAATGATTAAAATAAACTCATTGAATCAGAAACCTGCTGCTACTGTATCTTTTGCAGTGATCCCAATATGCGCCCTTCTTTTGCACAACTGTTGCCACACCTAAAGCAATTACAGAGGCTCATTGTCCCTATGAGCTGAATCCCCATCCTATATGGTTAGCAATTTGATTTTTCCAGTAACTTGCACCAGGAGTTGCGACGAACTGCTTTTGTTACGGTTATTTGAACATCAGCATCTCAAACCCAAGTATTTTTGGCTGTTTAATCTCTCTCTGAAGCTGGGCAAGAGCAGCAGAGGAAGCTGCTTGGGACGATGAAGCTCACCACCACTCTTCTTTCATTTCCATGGAAGCATTGGAGCAGTTAATATATATATATATATATATATATATATATTATATATCCTTATTGTTTTGTCTCATATTCCAAAGAAGTTTGGAATGATGACAAGTCTGAATTCTACACAACAAATGGATTTGTGATTATTGTTGGATTAAAAGAAATGTTAAAATGAAAAAAAAAAAAAAAAGAAAGAGAGAACTGAAAAATTTCTGCGAGCAATGCACAAGTCGCATTACCCTGTTCTGATCATGTTTATTTCAATAATGTATATTGTTGCTGCTGCTGTTACTGTGCTTTGACCTTATTTCTTACCGTTAGGAGATTAACAACCGCATTGAATTAGCTCAATGTCTTATGCTTTTAATTAACTAAATGGTACAATAAAATGTAAGAACTGTTCATCTTTGTGCACTTCTTATTCCTCTTATGAAATATTTCTCAATTAATTGTATGCATGGCTATTAAGTTTCTTCATAAGCTTAAAATAGTTAGTGTTTTGCATCACATTCTTTCTCTTGGTGCATAGTTTTCTTGCAGCATCTAGATTTGAATTTCAGCTCTCTTTGTTATTAAAGCTTCAAAGGAGGTTGCATATGTTATTCACTTATTAAGAAATTATTTTAATCCACAATTTTGGGAAGCATTTGCCACATTTGTGCTTCTAATGATACATAGAATTTTTATAGAAAAATCAATACGATGTAGAATAAGTTACTGCATAAGTGAGCATTTTATTTAGTTTTTAGCAATTCATCAAACAAATGGGTATGCTAATAAATATAAATAAAGGGAGTTAGTTGCTTGTGTGATGGGCGATTAGCTCCCATCCATAAGGAAAATATTTGTGTACATAAGACGTATGCAGCGCTGCGTGCGTCAGCGGTTATTCAGGGGGTACAGGGGGGTTATATCCGGGTTATATCCCCCTGTAACATCCGTGTAACTCTCTTGTAAGCTCCGTGTAACTTATTTGTACCCATGAAATTACAAAAGCGCGTAACTCATTTGTAGGTTACAGGTAGTTTACAAAGAGGTTACAGGAGGGTTACAGCGGGGTATAACCCCGATATAACCCCCTATACCCCCTGAATAACCCCTGGAGCAGCGTTGCGTACATCTTATGTACGCAAATATTTCCCCTGCCTCTTCAATCCATAAATAGCTCGTTAGGGGCCAGAGAGAATTTATATATATATTTTTTTTGAAAAAAATGTAAATATATTGAATAATATTGAGAAAATAATTTTAATCATTTCAAAACAATATATGAAAATTTAATGGAAAAAAAATATTTGGAATATGTAACAAAGTTTTTTTTATATTTAATTTTTTATTTTAAAATTTTAATTTTGTAGTTATTTTTTTAGTTAACATGTAATAATTATGAATAAAGTTTAACAAAATTTCGTTGGTGTAAAAATTAAAAATTCTTTTGTATTTGTAGATTAATATTTTCTTTAGAAAAATGTAACATTTATCTAAATTTATGGAAGTGAGTTGAATGACATATTTTAAATATTAAACTTGTTTATTTTTAATATAACTATAAGAAATAATTTAAATGAAAATAATAATAATAGTATAGTATATTTTTTTTATTTTAAATTCTAATAGTTATTTAATTTTATTTTGGTAAAATTAAATAATTAAGTATGAATTAAAATTTTTAAGATTAATTTTAAAAAAGTTAAACTTTTTGTAAATTGTTTATAAAGACATTTTAGGATCCTGAAATCTAATACTGTGCACATCATTCACTAATCTAATACTCTGCACATCATTCACTAATCTGAAATCCAAGTGTATTTATTAGGCTAGTTCATCACTGCCCTAGAAAATTTCACCAACATTTCATGATTTTGTTCACAAAGGCTAACCTGACCATAACACACTCAATTATGCAACAATTGTAGAAAAATAATAATAATAATCAACTATTTTTTTTATCAATTATTCTAAGTTTTTTTCTTGGTCAACACTTCACCACGAGTACTCATCAATTTGGATGTTCGACTGTGGTTGCTCAACAACTTGGAGGCTAAACCAATATTATTCATCAAATTGTCATGCATTGAATAATAACCATGCAATCAAATAGCAACTATGAGTTCAACATCTTATTTTTCTACAGAACAGCTACACAATTGATGTATTTTATTATTTTATTTATGTGGCCCATTATATAACATAATTATTATCAACCCAAATCTATTAATAAGTAGTCAAGTTCAAGACAAGTCGTGCGATCTAAAACACATAGTCACACTTAACTCAAAACTTTTGCCTGGTTCTTTAGAGCAATAAAGATTATAAAGCCTATTTATGTAGCTCTCTCTCTCCCTCTCTCTCCCTCTCTCTCTCTCTCCCTTCTCGCCTCCCACCCTTTGGGAGCATACATATCTAAATGGTGTGATTTCACGAACAAGTCAGAATTCAACACTATAAATATTATTGGATATGCTCTTCAATCACAACATGAGTTGATCTATTTTCTCTATAATTTTTAAGTATCTCCTCTTTAGAAATAATTGAGATAAGAGCTTTTAACAATATTTATATCATTAGTGTAATGTAAATAATCCCGAAAAAAAATGTGCAATTTTATTAATTGAAATTAGATTACCAAATTAAAAATACATTAAAATCATTTAAAAAGCTTAAGAAAAAGTAGCAACTCCAAAAAAAATTCTATCATATTATTAAATTACAAGAAAATTTGCTATGTATTTACATATCTCATATCCAAATTATTATTTTTATATACATAACATTTTAGTATTTTAAATATATTATCTTTTATTCTTATTTAAACATATCTTATTTTAATTATTTTAAATCATAAATGCTAGCAAACGATAAATTGTCTTGTTTTTATTAATTTATTTCTCCTTCTCCAGCCTGCCAATTTGCATCTCCAGCTATACGCGGCTTTTGACCTACTTACCCCAATCCCTTCTACCGATCGAAGACGACGATGACGAACTACGGCACGATCCCCACCTCCGCTTCCGGCGAAACTTCTCCTCAGGGTTTCATCTCCAGAGCCAAGGCACGCGGCCGATCGGCGCTTGCTACTCGCCGGCCATGGCGGGAGTTGATCTACCTCCACTACTTCTCCCTTCCCCGAAGCCTCGGCGAAACCTACATCCGGATCCGAAGCAACACGATCTATTTCGCTATGAACTACATCATCTTCCTCCTCCTCCTCGTCTTCCTCAGCCTACTCTGGCACCCCGTTTCGCTAATCGTCTTCATTCTTATGATGGCTTTCTGGCTTTTTCTCTACTTCCTCCGTGATGAGCCTGTTGCTATCTTTGGTCGGACGATCGACGACCGATTAGTGCTCGTCGCGCTCTCGATTGTAACGCTCGTGCTCTTGCTCCTTACTGATGCTACGGGTAATATTCTAATATCGTTGCTCGTTGGTGTTGTTGTTGTTTTGATTCACGCGGCGTTGAGGAGAAGTGATGATTTATCTTTGGAAGAGGAGGGGGCGGGGCCTAGAGGGTGGTATGCGGCTGCCGGAGATGGTGGCGGCGGTGGTAGTCTCTCGCCGTAGTCGTAGTTTGTTAATGGAGATGTTTGTATATGCTATTCACTTTTAATTGCTTTTGTTGTGTGATTTTGTTCTTGTATTGGATCGCATTTTCTTCCTCATGAGATCTAGGGTTTTGGTTTCAGACGTTCCGGAAGGAATGGAATGGGCTTCTTTTGCTGATTTTAGATTGAAGTTTTTTTTTGTCTTCTATTCTGGTTTGAATTTTCTAAATGGTTATGATGCGAGGTGCGAAAGCGCTGCATACATCAGAAGGTTATTAAGAGGGTATAGGGGGGTTGTCTCCGCTTTATACCCCATGTAACCTCCCTGTAACATACATATAACCTACAAATAAGTTCTGCGCTTCTATAGTTTCGGTTGGTACAGGTAAGTTACAGGAGGTATAATGCGGATATAACCTCTCTGTATCCTCTGAATAACCTCCTACGTACGCAGCGCTACATACGTAAGACGTACGCAAATATTTTCCGATGCGTAGGACTTTTACTATTGTAGATCGAGCTATATTAGGATTGACTAAAAAAATTTGATCCAAAATTTTGGGTGATAATTTGGCTCATCTATTTTGGTCCGATATTGATTAGAGTTAAAATTTGAATTAATTTTCCCAAGATTAATGATCTTCAAGTTAAATTCGCTAAGTATGCTGTTGGGGGTTATCTAACAATGGATTTATTCCGGGATTTAGTCGGGATGTAGGCTAAATCATGCTCGATGGTCATTTTGGACAAAATGTAGCCCCTTGATCTAATAAATCCGGATCTCTCATATTTTGGATGTAAATCCAAGGATTTAGTAAATCTCACGAATCGGCGAATTTATGGAATTTACGAGATTTACGGTGCAGGGACGGTAGAACATAGATGAGAAGAATATAATAGGCTAAATTTTGTCCTATTGAATTTTAAATCGTCCTTTGTGGACACGCTTCTAGAGTTTAGGGGGAGTGAAGGAAGAGAGAAAGAGAGTATAGCCAGTTAGGAATTTCTTGTTAAGAGAATAGGTAAAAGTCCTTTTGTTTGTATTTTTGTCTCTTATTTTTAAAGGCTTATTTTGTACATTTATAAAAAAGAGTGAGTAGTTAAAAACTGCTCTTAATATAATAGATATTTTACTTAATTGTATTGATTTCATATTATATGTATATTACAATTTGAATTTTATTATGGTGATAACTTGGTCAGTCAATTTGCTCGAATTCAGCCAATTGGGATGACTAGTCGAGTGATGACCGCGCTATGGGTTGGTCAGCTGAAGTGTCTGATCGAATGTCGATTTAATCCGCTGTGGTAAAGGTGGGTCGCCTGATTAGTCGTGATCAAGGATTCACGCCCGCGCCTCGGTCTGTCGAGACTGTCGGCGTGATCCGTCTTTTCTAATCTCTCGTCGTGGAAGCGATTGGCGGTAGGGCGTTAGGAAGCTTTAGTTGTTTGGTCATAATTTGGGTCATTCATATGCTTTGAGATTCGTGCTCAATTGTGATATATACATATTAGTTTTCTGAATCTTCTTGTTCCTTGAAAGTGACAACTGTAATAAGGACAGGAAAATTATTAGTATTCAATGGTATTTGTTTTCTCGGTCTTTTTTAAGACTTAAGAGTCTTCAACTAATCTATTTATATGTCGTAGTATAAATCATTTATTTGAATAAATCTCTCTCCTAAATTATATAAATGATTTAAAGATGAGAGGAATCAAATAAAAATGTGATACGACAACAACTAAACAAACAAATAAAAAGAAATAAGCGGAAGACTTATATATGAGTAATTCTCATGAGATGGGTCGAGAATATACGTCCTAACAGGATCAGATCGAAGTACCTCAAAACACAACATCCACAAAGAAAATCTTTACGTGTCACCCTTAACCAGAGAACCAAAAAGAACATTTTTGTTCCGGGGTTAAGAGTTTCCAGAGGAATGCATCCCTCTGGTTAATTACATCTTGGAGGAGACCCAATAATGTTATTTATAAAAGGAGTTTCGTTTATATTATTGTGAACCTGGAGAATAGGCCATCAAAGGATGATTATATTGCTTGGGGATGGTTTGATGCTTTCAAAGCTCTCGTTATGCTATAGGACAAAGAGTGAGACTCTCACATCCCAAATGGGTAGCGGCTCGTCGGCATGCGGAAATTATGAAATGACCAAATCACCTCGATGTAGATATCTCTATACCTCAGAGTTCACCGGTTCATAAGGGCAGATGACAAATCATCATATCTCAACGAGCGAGAGCTCATCAGTAATCATACCGTCAAAATGATATCAACGAAATGAAAAAGAGTGATATGGCTCAAAGGGGTTCAATAAAAAGAAATGTAGAGTAGTTCTAACAGGTAGAGGGAGCTGGGTCGAGGCATCACGAACCCATCATCCCAAGCTACTATGACCCCAAGTCTACCTGGTCGTGAAGATAGTCAGCCCAACATGTCCCGAGATTTCCAGCCAGCAATCTATGAATATTATGTAACAGTTAAATTTTAATGTTTTATATAAAAAAATTATATAAATCATTGGACTGTCTAATCTTAATTATATGTGGGCCGTGTTTGAATTTAATTTAATTATCTTTGGGTCCTCACTGAAATCCAGTGCTACTATTTAATTCCTGGTTTAGATATGATAAGCTGATACTAAGAAGTTCCGATGAGTGCCGCGTGGCGTGCTTAGGCCACGTAGTAGTTGAAGAGGTGAAGGGGAGAAGGCGTACGTGGATGGCTGAGATTTGTTTAATATTAATGAAATTGCCACTCCATGCATGATTTTCAATGGCTGTAGTAATTAGGGGATTAGGTTTTTTTTGTTATTTTCAAATATGTTTATTTGAAGTAATTTTAAATTATATATTATAAAAATCAATTAAATTATTTTTAAACATTCAAAAATAAGTTTTAATTATTTAAAATATTTTAAGAATAATAATTATCATTAAAAAAATTACATTTTAAAAATAATAGAAACAATTCAAAATAAAATTTATCAAATTCATTTTATTTCATGGCAATATTTAAATAAAATATTATAAAAATAATAATTTTTAAGTGACCTACATAGCCCATAATATTTGTATTAATTAGATTTATTTTGAGTTTTGATTCCTTGGAGAAGAGCTCAGTCTAATATGTTTGAATTTATTTTTATCTAACATGTGCTTGATTTGTTAGAAAAATATATAAAGAAAAAGAAATGCATTGTAATTAAAAAAATAGTGTGATTTGAAATATTTTAGAGCTACTTAGGCAAAAATTAAATATACGAGATTATGTGCATGTGTTTGATATGATGTAAAATGAAATCAAGATAAAACTCGATGGTAGACAAAAATTATTACTTGGCAATGATAGATAGTGGTCGATAGTGTCGAATGAACGAAGTTAAGCATCTAACAGCTTTCAGTTAAGCGTCTAACAGCTTTCAGGTGGCAATGTACCATAGCTTCAGGCACTAATGCTCCAAAAACAACTTGTTCAAATTTAATGGAGCTTTGAGAATTGAGTGCCATCAGAGGCAATCTTAGCCTTCAACCTTTTCTTATAAAAGCACATCCAACTCTTTGCAAATTAATATAATAAAACATGATGTTTTAAGCTTAATTTGATATCATTTGAAAAGGTGTGCATGTTTTCATCTAAAATCTCTTTAATTTTTGACAAAAAAGCCTCTCACTCAATTTCTTTGATTCCTTATGATTAGAATGATCTTCTATTTTTTATTTTGTAATAATTTATAGGAGTTCATGTGGATTGATCTCTTCTGAGTAACAATTATTTAGTCACATGCAAAAGATCGACACTTTTGCTTGCCTTCTTTTGTATCAATGAAGTTGTTTAAAATTTTGTTAACTCTAATGTGATTTAGTGGGGTTGTGTATTAGAATATCTGTTTAAGATGCTCGTGCCATACAGTGAGAAGTTGGTATTCTTGACTTTAGACTATGAAGGTTGTGAGGAGGTTTCTTGTTCAATCTTTCAAATGAAGGAATTGGGATTATCTTGGTATGTTTGGCAATGGGCTTAAATTCAAGGAGAAGCAAATTAGTAGTGAATGTAGGTCGATTAGGGGTCAACCACGAATATAGCATATGTCATACTTTTTTTATAGATTTAAAACAGTTCTAGGGATACTAAATGGTGTTTAGGAACCTTAAGAGGGTCAAGGATGTGGTAGGAAGGATTTGGGTATTATGATAAATTTTCTTTTATTTTCTTTTTTTTTTTTTTTTTTTTTTTTTATATTTAGGATTAGGATAAAAATATAAATTCCTAAATTTTGGGGTAGTTGAGCTCTAATATGAAATGTTACCATTCTATGGCTTCTATATGGTATTTAAGAACACCAAAAATATGTACTTAAGTTGTAGGATGTATGAGGAGGAGAGAGGAATGATGTTGGTTGAAATTAATTGGGATTGAATGACGACAGTTCAACGGTCCAAAAAATTGGAAATAACAGTTTCATGTTACAAGACAATCCCTTTCCACTGTTTGACAACAATAGTTACGAGAAATGATGGTTTCTCGGCTGAAATATCTGATAGAACCTGTTTTGAAAAAATATCGAGGGTGAGGTCTGTTGTTGGATCAAAAGAGTTTAGAGGTTGTTTAGTTGGAAAATAGTGGGTTGAACGGTGAATGGCAAGATACTAGCAATGAAGACATGCCACCACATGTCTTAAGAAAGATATAAATACACCACTTGCTAAAGGAATATGATACAATACTCTCAAGAGCATAAATCATTCTAAGGAGTAGAAATCAGAGAAAAATCCCTCAATTCTCAAAATCAATAAAACTTAAAACTCAAAAATTTCAGTACATTTATATAAATGCTCCTTAACAGAAAAACCTAATTGGAAATAGTGAAATAGATAAAGATCAAAAAAGGAAGAAAAATAGTTGAAATATGAAAACCATCTTCAATCACCCATGATCACAAGGTTTACGGTGATTTGACGAAATCCTATGTTGTTGGAACGATTCAGCGACCCACTTGGAATCCTGTGATCCACGACAAATCCCTTATGCTATGGATAAAGCTGCCACGTCAAGCTTGGATTTGATTTCTTCCTTGACATTTTCATACAATTTGAATAATTAATTTTCTATTTTTTGAAACATAAAATTTATTTTCTCATTATCTTCTATTAAGTGGAACA